TGCTGCACCAGTTCTTCACGACAGCCTCGCACGAGGACCTCACAACATTGACCCCCCCCCTTCCCGTTGTGCATTCCACCCCTCTCCTTCCATACATGATCGACAACTAAGTTTTAGATTCTGACATATCTTTAGGATTTCCCGTATCATCGTCGCGTTCTTGGTCGCCCACCTCGCACGACCTACTGCCCGGACCCGGTGTTGATGCCGGTATGTCGTCGTGGTAGACGTTGCCTGCATGTGTATGTACGCGTACCTGCATGGGAAGCCCCATTGTGCATACTCGTACCTGCCCCGCGGCCATGTCTACACACCAATTTTTCTAGACCAATGTCTTCCCGATGTCGTTCATGTTTTAATTACCATATTATGTTGCTGCAACCGCTGCTGCTACCGCTGCACGCAATGTCGTGCCAATTCTGCTATTGCTGACACATCCAAGTGGATTCATCAGAGTGGATTCGTCCGAGTGGATTCTGTCTTGAGCTCCTCCGAGCTCTCCTTGTGAACTTGCTTTTGCTGACAATGCCTCTTGTGCTCCCTCCCTGCAGGCGACAGCAGCCATCTCTCACCAGATAAAAGTCGGCCACTCCCATCCGGGGCCGTTTCCGCCTCGGCCGCCAAGATATCCTTCTCACCCCTCCCCCCAATCTCAGCCATGCCTCAGCCGATCCCCCCACCGCACACGCCTCAGGCTGACGCTGTGGGTGCTGGCCTGCCCACCCACTCAGCCTACAACGCCACGCCCGCCACCGGTGCACCCACACCTGCCGGCGCCGCCCCCAAGACGACGCCCACGAAGTCGACGCTCAAGGCCCTGCCCACGGTCCGCGACCACACTACAGATCAGCTCAACGAGACAGGTGATGAGTACATCCCCCGTGAGTATGACGAATTCGGTGAGAAGAAGGTGATGCAGAATGGCCAGCTTCAGGGCGGCCGGACCTACAGGTGCCGCACCTTTCTGGTGCCAAACAGGGGCGATAAGCTCTTCATGCTCGCCACCGAGTGCGCCAGGGTCCTCGGTTACCGCGACTCGTACCTGCTCTTCAACAAGAACAGGTCCCTGTACAAGATCATTGCCAGCCAGCCGGAAAAGGACGACTTGGTCTCGCAGGAGATCCTCCCCTTCTCGTACCGCTCGAGGCAGATTGCCATCGTCACGGCCCGTTCCATGTTCCGCCAGTTTGGCAGCAGGGTCATCGAGGGCGGCCGCCGCGTCCGCGACGACTACTGGGAGCAGAAGGCCCGCAAACAAGGCTTCACCGAGGCCGACCTGGCCGGCGAGAAGCGTCCCGGAGCGGCCAAGGCACGCGAAGCTGCCGCCGAGGCCCAGAACGCCATCTTGCCTCCCGGCCCTCACACTGAGATAGTCTACAACAACAACCCGGCGGCCTACCCCGGCCCCCCGCAGCCCCCTCTTGTCCAACCAGGTATGATGGGAGCACCACCAGGAAGCACCACGAGGATGCCCGGATTAACATCAACCTCAGATCTGGCCGACGCGAGGCCGCGCGACTACAGCGGCATCATCAAGGGCGGTCCTCGCCAGGAGATTACCGGTCCCCCGTACCAGGACCAGACGCGGCCCTCGCCCCTGGGTGAGGTCCAGTCCCAGGCCTCGCACGCCGCCGACTTTAACCGTTCCGTCAACCAGCAGCGCGGCATGCGCAACGAGTATCTTCAGGATATCTGGCGTCGCCCGCACGAGCAGCCCCCGACGAGCCTGGGTTCCAGCGATCCCGTCGTCCCATCCACGGCCGGCCGTCCCAACACGTCACCTCACGCCACCACCGCCGCCAGCGGAATCTCTCAGCCGCCCGTCGTGTCATCCCAGAGCCCGCAGATGATGATGACCGGTCCGCCCTACTCGCAGTCGATCCAGGCCCAGAGCACCCCCGGACACCAGCCCCCACTCAGAGGTAAAGCTGCCACTGCTACTCCTGCCTCTTCTCTCCCTGACATGGCGCCTACTACCCTTCTGCCCAAGGGCATCCTGCCTGCACTCAATGCTAACAGGCTCGTCACGGCAGGCTCCACCAGCAGCATCGGACAGGGAACCCCCGGCTACAACTACCAATCCGGACAGATGTGGTCGCAGACGCCCCAGACACCCCAGCACAGCTACGGAAGCTATAGCGGGGCCCAGGCCCAGGCCCAGGCCCAGCAGCAGCAGCAGCAGCAGCAGCAGCAGCAGCCGTCTCACCCGTCGCAGTCGCCGGCCTCCCATCTCCGACAGCCGAGCTCGGGCCAGATGCAGCCCGGCAGCATGCAGTTCCCCAGCATGGGTGGCATGCAGTACGGCGCCGCCGGCGGCACCATGTACCCAGCCGAGCAGACACCCAGGCAGTACATGCCGCAGACGGCGCCAGGCAGCGCCCAGTGGTCCAGCCAGCACCCGCCTCCCCAGCAGTGGTGGGCTCCGCAGCAGCAGCCTCAGTAGAAGGGGGGCGGGGGGGAGGGAGGCTGTCGACGTCTGCAACGGTATAAGCACAGCAGCGCAGGTCAGCTGACTTTTGTTTTTCTCCTTTTTCCTTGGGTACTGCCATGACGTCTGCCTAGTCTGGTCTCCTTTTGTTCTTCTTACGTTCTTCTGTCTTGATCAGAGTATACTCTGTCTCGAGGAGATGCTTGCTTCCTGTGGCCTACTGGACACACCTCTCGTGGATACCCCATGCATACATGTTATTGGGAGGCTTGGATTTCTTTGTTTGTTTCGGGCCGGGCAGCCTGGAACCGGTGCTACACATCTGTACGAGTAGCATTCTACCAGGGTGGGATACGGAGTCGTGGTATGGTTATGGATTCGAGGGTTTCTCGTCTGGATTCTAAATTTTTTTTTCTCCTGTCAGGTTTGAAATTGGGTTCTCTGTACTCTGGGTTACTCTTGAGATTTCATATCTCGCACACCATCCGTCTATCTCGGGTTGTTGTCCCTTTTTTTTTTATATCTTTATCTTTTCTTCTTTTTTTTTTCTTTGTGTCGTTTCTATTCCTTTTTTCTGTTTGTTGTCGGTCTTAATTCTCTTGTTATTTGTGATACCGCAGCCGTACATCGATGACTGCGTTCTCAATTCCTTTCTATCTCAGCTCCTCTCCAGCTATTCATTCCGGTTCCGAGAGACCTGACTTGGTACGTCTTGGTAAGTCTTGGGCCTTGGACCTTCCGATGGCAGAGTGGATTTGTGACTTGTTGCATTTTTTTTATCATCATTGGTAATCTTTTGTATTCAGGTTGTTTACTATTTTTTTTTTTTTTCAAATCTCGGTGATTATTGTGCTAGGATGGGCACTGAACAATGTGCGAATTGATGCAAGGTTGAAATTTGGCAGCTACTTGACAATGCTGCGCACATCTGGAACCCCGTGTGTTGATATTTGACTAGTAGTAGTAGTAGGAGGAGGAGGAGTAGGAGGAGGAGGAGGAGTAGGAGGAGGAGGA